ACCTGTTTAACCGGTACTAAAATAGACGAGTACAAACACCGCGTGATATTTGTACTCGTCTATGGCGTTATTTGTACTCGTCTAGGTGTAGTTAGATAATAAGGGACGCTTATTAGAGTGTGAGTTCGCTTATTCGAGTGGATACGGGACGCTTATTAGAGTGTGGGTTCGCTTATTCGAGGGGATACGTGACGCTTATTAGAGTGTGGGTTCGCTTATTCGAGGGATTCGGGACGCTTATTAGAGTGTGGGTTCGCTTATTCGAGGGGATACGGGACGCTTATTAGAGTGTGGGTTCGCTTATTCGAGGAGATACGGTACGCTTATTCGAAGAGATTATCTTCAGCTATCTTCTTCATGCCATGTGGCACATAAGGCCTCAACACAATCCCGCCAACCAGCTCTGTCAGCCGCTGCGATTTGTACCTCACTCCAGTTCTTCCATCCAGCTTTTTCCCTTTCTCTCTCTACTGTCTTCCTCCATGTTGTCTTCTGTCTGCCCCGTTTTCGCCGCCCTTCTGGGGTCCAGGTTAATGCAGTTCTGCAGTCATTATTTGGTTCTTTCCTATATCATCCGCCAAGTCGAGATCCTCGATCTTTGTGGTGAACTTCCGTCTTATTCCGGTGTGCCCCCCTTTCAATGTATTTCTGATCACCCAGTCCACGACTAGTATGAATAGTAAACCTGACATGTTGCAACCCTGTTTCACTCCAGTTTTGATCTTAAACCACTCCATTGTGTCCTGGCCATCCACTACTGCGCATTCAAAGTCAGCATATAGAGCTTTCACCATGTTGATTATCTTGGATGGTCTACCGTAGCTTCTCATAATCAACCATCATGTAAACTGTCCCTGTGGACCGAATCGAACGCTTTCTCAAAATCTATAAAGTTAGCGTACAATGAAGACTGCCACTCTATTGACTGTTCGATGATATTCCTCAATATGAAGATTTGCTCAGTAGTTCCTCTACCTGGTCTAAAACCTGCTTGTTCCTTTCTAAGTTTTGACTCCACTCCGGTTCGTATCCTGTCTATCACAATTCTCCCCATGACTTTGCTGACAACTGGCAGTAACGTGATACCACACCAGTTTTTACATTACCTTTTTTCGGCAGTTTGACAATCAGTCCTTTTCGCCATTTTCTTGGTGTCTTCTCATCCCTCCACACTATGCCTATGATCTCCTTCACTTTAGTGGTAGCATAGTCAATATCAGCTTTGAGCAGCTCTGCTGGTATGTTGTCAATTCCAGGCGCTTTTCCACTCTTCAAATACCGTATTGCCTTCCTTACTTCTTCTCTGCTGTGTTCAGATGTATCAGTTTCTTCTATTTCATCCGGCAGTTCTATCTCCATCTACCTTACTGGATTGCTAGGATTCCCTCTATTCAGTACTTCAGAGAAGTGTTCCAACCATCGTTTGGTTTTACCTTCTTTCTCGTTGATGATCTTGCCGTTTTTATCCATTACTGCAGCACTCTGCCTTGGCCTTTCGTTGCCTAACACTTTGGTCAGGGTATACAGTGTCTTCATGTGTTATTGTTTGGCCGCATTTTCAGCTTCTTCTGCAATCTCTTCAGTCCATCTTCTTTTATCCACCCTAACCTGTCTTTTAATTTCCCTATCTTTCTGTCGGTATTCATCTTGCCATCTCTGTTTAAGTCTCTCTGATCTTGCACCGATTAACTTTTGTTTGATCGCCTTCCTTTGGTCGACCAGAGCCCAATTTTCCTTACTCAACCATGGCTTGTTTTTCTTTTTCTTGTACCCTAGTACCTCTTCTGCCGTTTTTACATAAGCTTTCTCCAATTTCTCGCTTTTCCTTTCTACTTGGTCTTCTTCTGTTTCATCAGTCATTTTCTCTTCCACTGCCAGTGCCTGGAATCTATTTTTTAGCTGTGTATTGAACCTTCTGTGTATGTCATCGTTTTGGAGTTTGTGCGTGTCGAACTGTTTTTTTGGTATTCTCTGTCGCCAGTGCTCTTTTGAGCTTTAATCTGATGATTGATCGTACAAGGTAATGGTCGCTGGCCACATCTGCTGATCTCATGGCCCTTGCATCTAACACCGATGTTCTAGATTTTCTGTTAACCAGAGTGTGATCTCTCTGATTTTTTGTTCTTCCATCGGGCAACACGCATGTTTCCTTGTGAATTTCCTTGCGAGGAATGCTGTTCTAGTGATAACCATTTCATTAAAATCACAGAATTCTTTCAGTCTTTCTCCATTATCGTTAACCGTGCCCAGACCGTGTCGCCCCATTACTCTTCCAGGACCGTTGACAAGGTTTCCCACCTTTGCATTCATGTCTCCGGTGATGATTAACATATCATGTTTGTGTACCTGCCCAGCTACTTCTTGCAGTTTCCCGTAGAAGTCTTCTTTTGTTCCCTCATCAGCATCGTTGGTTGGCGCGTACACGTGTATTATTGTAAGCTTGACAAACTTAGAGTAAAATCTTGCCTTTATTATTCTCTCATTAATTGACGATCAATCAATTAGAGCCTTTGTTCCCTCTGGTGTCATCATTATCGCTACTCCTTGCATGTGTTGATCATCATCTCGACCTGAGTACAGTAATGTTTCACCTGAACTCAATTTCATTCTACCTGCTCCTATCCATCGGCACTCACTTATTCCCATAATTTGGATCTTCATCTGATTCATCACTCTCGCAACTTGTGGGGATTTTCCTGCAGTATACATTGTTCATACGTTCCAGTTCCCTATTCTAATCTGAGTCCTTGGGGTCATTAGTGATTTGTTCAGCTCCTAAGAATCCTCTCGGCTTTGTCCCAAGGGCGTCATGCTTTGCCTATCTAAGCAAGGTATCACATTGGCCCCAAGAGAAGGTTGTCTTCGAACGTTTAAGGTTTCTGTAATCTGCTTTGTTTTAAGGGGGCGGGTGATTGGCCCACCGCCCAACCCCCAACCTGGAGGACCAGGGGCTGTTCTTTGTCTGGCCTCTACCCCTCGACCAATCCGGCATGGTTGGACCTGCAAGGGACTACAGATCCCAGCCGGTACAGCTCTTAGGGTCATTGAGACACTCAAGCCTCACCACCACTTCAAGATGACAACCCAAGGTGAGGTATTCGCAGAGATACGGGACGCTAAATGGAGTGTGGGCGCTTATTCGAGGGGGTAAGCGACGCTTATTATAGTGTGCGTTCGCCTATTCGAGGAGATACGAGACGCTTATTTCAAGAGATACGGGACGCTTATTCAAAGAGATACGAGACGCTTATTGGAGTGTGGGCGCTCATTCGAGGAGATACGGAACGGTTATTAGAGTGTGGGCAGTTGTTCGAGGAAATACGTATTCTCTCAGATATTTTGTTTGAGTTGGCAGACAGATAAAAAGGGGTTCTTGATATAACTTGACTCGTTTTATACTTCGCTTTTCAGACGCATCGTAAGATTTCGAAATATATTTAGTCACTGTAAAGATCAAGCTTAGTTCCATGTCTGAAAGACACTGAATAAAATTTGTTTTTAGAACGTGGTCTGTGATCTGTAAAAATAATTGCTATTTACAAATTTAAACCAGCACATAGTAGAGCTTTGTTTTTATAGGGTTCAATTTTAGCCAAAGCAGTCTGTGCCGAATATGGACAAAGACATTAGAGACAATAGTGTCGTGGAGAAAATGTTACAAAAAAAAAAAATACAAAAGTTCATTACAACCGCTTTGTTAGGGGGGTTTGTAGTAACCAATCATCACCAATCGACGATGTTTTTGAAGTTGCAAACAAAAGCAACTCTTTCCGATGTACTGCCTTTAATTGTGTACTCAGTTGTCTGAGAAACAATTCATGCATATTCCGTGAGTGGTCTTCTCACGCCAAAGTCTTCAGTGACGGTATCGATAAACTATCTGATATCGAATCACGACTAAAAAAAAGTAATAGAAGCTGTTACTTGAAGTCATACATTTTAGTGGAGTGGTTAACAGTTTGCTTTTCCAATAATAACCTGATTCTTAGACCGATTTAGACTAGCAGGGTATGCTAATTTAGTCTTTATTCATAATTAATACAATGAAGTTTTTATAATAGAGAAGAGTTTATCGGTCTTTGCTTTCCGAATTTAGACGCGGCTACTTTTCCCCCTCCAACCGAAAAAAAAAAAAAAAGGATATATATATATGTATACATTTATATAAAAATTTTCTATCTTTGTTTCCTCCGTTCTTTTGATCAGTTCGGCGGCTGAACGAGAATTAAGAATAATACAAAAACAAGGTCATTTATCTTTTCTCCATCGGTTTTAACGGCCACGCATTTTCTTGGGAAAATAAACGTTGATTGACACGTGGATATGTCTAGGGTTACAACCATGTAACCTCTTTCAAATGCGTAACTAAAGGTCGAATTTTTGAATGATCCAAACAAACACACACCAAATCTTTTTTTTTTTTTTGTACGTGTTGCGATCGTGCTTATTACAAGGGCCCTTTTACGCTTTTCCGGCTTTGAAACATTTTAAGTATTTACTCAGAGTCTGGCCACGAAACAAGGTGTTTCAAATATAACAACCTCCATATTGAAGAGACGATTTCGTCTGGTTTCATTTTGTGACAAAGAAGTGCACACTTCTTAAACCTATTTACAACAATGAGTATGTAGTGTCGCACCCTTCTAGACCTTTCTGTCGCACTCAACATACTTTCTTTTTTCTTCAAAAACGGGACGACTATTCCCTGAGTAATTACGTGGCAGATGTAAAACATAAATAGCGCGCAATTCTTGTTTACCCAGATTCTACAAGTTTGCATGTGTCGTGTCTGTCTGGACTGATTGGCGCGCGACTTTTTGCAATGTTACGGCTCATGTTAACCACGTGTCCTTTGTGTACGTTTACATGTTGATAGCGTTGGCGGAATTGAGCGAGAAACACGCCGGCGAAACATCAGGTGAGATTAGATAATGGGTGATGGTGAAAAGTATTTTGTCAGGCTTTTATAATTATTTTGATGTCTAAAGTGAAGTGAATATGGAGACAGAAGGAGGATACGCTGTCCAGACGTGTTGAAACTTGAAGACATGTGAAGATGTTAATGTTGCCGGCTAAGAATATTGTTCATTTTCCTGTGGGGCTCAAACAGATCAGTAAAGTATTTTCCTCCTGTATGATCTTACATTCACAACTAAAAAAATATTTACAATAACTTTCTTTCCGCGATCTGCACTCTCGCTTTACGTCTTTTTTTTTTTTGTTGTTGTTGTTGAAAAGAAAAAAAATAGGACCCGAAAAGCGCATTCGAAATCACAGTAACAAGGAAACCTTACCCCATCCTTAGCTCTGCCTCCACAGTACCGGAAAAGCCTGATTAACCAAAACGCTGGGGACTTGATCTTCAGGACAAGTCGTCGAACGACTTGTAACAGAGACCGATAAAAAAATATCCACGAACAGTCGAAGTAATCATGATTCCAACAGCGAAATTTAAATCCCCGAAATATAATAAAAATAGCGCGCTAGTTAACTAAATTGATTCAGCTGAGTTATCATATATATCAACTATCGTCCTTTTTAATTAAACTGTTTGTCTGAGTCGGTTTGTTAAAACATTTGTTTACAAGAATAGCAAGAAGCTTCTTTTTCTTCGTGTACAAACGAATTCAGGCCCCCGGGAACTGAATTCAGCTGGTTGGTATGCATGTGATGTATATAGACAACTCGTTTCTTGAAAGCACAGAAAACGGGTCGGTGCCAGTGAAAGTGGCGGTCGTTCGACTTTGTAATTAACGAACTCATGGCCCTTCGTTGTTTTCTGATAAAGAGAATAATGCTAATGAATAAATCTCATTGCGTATGCTTTTATGTCCGATCAGTGAATAATATTCAAACAAGAAAAGCGTTTGTAACACTCATTCAAGTACCATGTATTTTCACTGATGCGCGAATGTAGAAACGTGGTGAATCAGTGTCGGGGTGCAGCAACAATCTCTGACGTAAAATATCAATTTATTTCATTTCTAGAAATGAATTTGTGATGTGTACACATTTACTCACGTCACACGAAATTCATAAGTGCTATTTAAAGCTCGTAGAAAGAAATTTACTTTGGTTGATATATATTAAAATTCGTAAGGAGATATAAAGAGGGAGGGACAAAAATGATTTCAAAGCCATTTTTTCATCAAGTATAGAAAGGATTTATTTTTTCGTCTCGCTGTTAGAGCAGTGGTCTTTGCACGACCCGCGGACCTATGATAAGTTTATTTGATTTCGTGAACAGTCTCGAAGTTGAGGATTAATCACAATATATGTCATGAAATAACCTTTTCTTCACCCCTTGATTAATTATATGATAACAGAGATTTCATCATTTTCTTTCGAATAAATTTCCTCCCAAACTCATTATACCGCGATTACTTATGTAAACTGTAGGATACCTGCAGAGAACAATCTCAATAACAGCTAAAAAATAACAGAATTTCAGGTTAAAAATGGTTAGCTAAGGACTAAATCCATTTGAAATAATAAAATATAATTATGTTTATCTGTTGTCACGCAAGAATCTTGGCAATCGTAGGCTCTATGCGAAAGTTATGCTTACATTCCCACACTTGGCAATTTTTCCCCAACGATAAAATGTTCCTAGGTTGTGCACATATTATGCAAATTTATATGTTTTTGTACGCAAGTAAATTATGATTCGATTTTCTTGGTTCTTATAATCTTAAGAGTTTTGTCGAAATGTTAGGAATAATATATCTCATCTGCGGCGCGTAATTTTTTCCTGTTCTATCACGTGACTAAACATCGTACATGCGCCGTTGGAATATTTTCTTCGGGTCGGAAGCGGATCGAAACGTCGAGTGATGGAGGGAAGATGGTGGTTTGGTTCTTCGAATTTATATGGCTTTTCTGGATTTTGACATCTTCTGAAACGAGATCTACGCATACCAGAAAAATTCAAGGTTCCTAAATTTTTATTGTCTTCGTTTATTTCGTTATGATCAATGACAACGATTTTTTTGCTTGGATTTGATCGTCTAATGTTTGTTTCTAACTAACTTCATCAGCTGTTGGTCGATCTGCCTACGCGGGTTCGTATGGCAGCCGTACTACAGGATTTTCCCATGGTGTAGGGCAGGGAAAACCGCCAAGCATTGGAGAGAACCTTCAAGGGGAGAAACAGAATGAAGGGAAAAATATTCAAATGGAATTTAAGCCAAAAGTTTCCTCTTTCAAGTCAACAGAAAGCGCTACCACGATCGCTCGAGAAAGCAATGGCAACATTACAGCGGGTCATCGTGAGGACCTGCCGGAAATTTATATTTTAGTGTTGGTGAGTCTTCTTTTTGTCTTCTTTATCCGCGTTGGTGGTTATTTTATTAGCGTATCCGGAATCTTTCCGGATTTTTTGTTTGCTCGTAGAGAAAATGTTCTGTCCGAGCGAGCACACATTGAGTTGTTGGTCGACAGATCTACAGCTTTGATATCGCCGTTACAGTTTCCATTGCGATTTTGTTTTTTTCGAGAGAATTGTAATAATTGTCTGTTGCTTAACAATTCGGTTTGGAGTCACGAATCGGATGATGTGGATGAAAATAAACACAACAAATCGTGCGACAGTATTTTAACACAATTCGATACGTTTTACAGTGGTTCTTTCGGTCATGACAGACACTTGGAGTAGGTTTATCCTGGGGAATCTTTCTTCGGTGCTCTACCGCGAGAAAGCTACATTTATTATACAAAGTGCGTGGGTTTGACAGAGTTTGACTGATGTATTTTGGTATGAATTTATTTTGCTGATAGCAGAGAATTAAATTAATGCCATGGACTAGTTTCGAATGAGGTCACATTGGTTCTTCGCGCGCGAAAACGGATTTTTTGCGTGATCTTTCGATCTGGCATTATCTGACCCCGTAATTATGTTCATGGGATCTGTGTTCGCCACTTCTTTGCCGATTTCCATTTTAATGGGGTTTGATTCGCTGAACAATCATTTCCGTGACATGTTTCATTAAATCCTCCCACTCAAACAATAACTGGCGGATATACTCAAGGATATACTAGTTTGTCGGCAACTCGTTTCAAAAATATTTTCTTCGTTTTGTTGTGGTGAATTTTTAAATGAGTGTCAAGTAACTCGATCGAGAAGGAGGCCGAACTTCCATCAATTAGTGTAACACGATAGCCGTGAATGTGAAGACCTGTTCGATTTTGTAAAGGAAAAAAAAAATCGATGTCTCTAACCAGATTTCATATCTAGCGGTTTGTTCTTTAGCTATAACACCGTATTAACATACTGAATTAGTTAGTTTGAAGTAGATATCGTTGTACACCTGTTACTTCAAGTCTAAACATAGATTACTATGAATCTATTTTCTTGATGAAAATGTGTACGTTTTTTACCGGATGTCTTTGGATTTTTATGATATATCATGTATACAGGTATTTCTGTGAAGTTTGAAATTTCAAACCCATTGAATTAGAAGTTTGTGACAGTAGTTTTTCCCTCCGAGTACACCTGCATTAAAAATAGCCAGTGCGTGGTATGGCATTATTTGGTGTTAATGAAATTATTTTCCATTGTTGAAGCCTTCAGGGTAGTGGGAAATGCACTATTACTGTAGGCTGTGCCATTGTCATCATCAATCCAGGAATTCTGGGTGGGATTTCAGGATGGAGAGATAATTTTCAACTTATCTCAATTTGCTAAGAACATTAGCAGGACAAGTGTTGTTGAAATCGTTATTTTTCGTTTCGTTATTGTGTAGTTGTCAATAATACTTATAACCAATCTGAGTCTTTGTTTTGAGTTAAAACAAATTAAGAACTATTGTTGATTGGAAAACATAGTGAAGTGTCTTTCCTCTTTGATAATGTTCCAGATGGAAATGAAGATGCTTTTTCTTTGATTGAAATGTTTTTAAATCCAGTATTGAAATTAGTCATTCTATACTTTTGAAATAAAAATTAAGTTTCAGTTTGAGGAACTTGTGTGTAAATCCCTGGTACCAGAGGATATCTGGAATTTGACTGATAGCTACAAGATGTGTTAAAAGAGGGGGGCAATTTAGGGTTTATTAGAAAACTTAAAACCATAGAAAAAAATCCTCAAGAACTGCAAAACTAAAAAATTATGATCAAAGCCAAAGACCGCATGCAAAACCATACACTGATGACTAGTGGAGCATAGAAGAGAAACTGGAACCCAAATAGGAAAAACCATATTGGATACAAAATCGGATTTTCTGTTGGTATTTTTGGTGAAAACCAAATGCAAAAAACCAGAAAAATCTGCAAACTGCAATAAACAACAAAACTGAAAAATGGAAGCTTTTTGGCCAAAAAAAACAACAAAAAATTAACCAAAACTACTAAAGGGAAAATCCCAATGCCCCCCTCCTAAAAGCAGTATGTCAATTGAAACACAACAGCTTTACAATAACTTGAAATATCATCAGTTGAATCTGTTGTTTTCCCATTTATATTTATGGTAACTGAGTAGCTGACCCATATCAGGCAGAAAAACATATTTATCTGTCATCTGTTCCCTTCATTTTCTACAGCTGTTAGCAATCAGTTTTTTTTTTCTTGCTGTAAACAAGTCCTTTTGAGGGACCATAAATTTTTTTATTGATTTCATAATAAAAATACAAATTTTGTTCAGTTGCTGTATTTGACACAACCCGTGTGGATTAGTGATTTTAAAAGCCCCTCCTATGAGGCTTTTAAACTCTTTATCCTTAACTTTAAAGGATTTTATCAAGTATTAGCCTTCCTGTAAAACAGGCCTTCATAACTTGTTCATATCTTGCATTCTAGCACTTTAAGATTAGATTTTGTGCTAAGCCATTTCAGCTATTTTCAATGCATTCGTTATCATCTGTTTTGACATCTGTTAGGTATGTAATCTTTTAGAAGATGGGCAGCTTGCAGACCAGACTGAACTCAGGGTTGTCGGAATAGCAGGAAGATTTATTCCAAACATGAACATAGTTTCCATGAAGTAAAACTCTACAACAGCACCTAATTCAATAAACTTACACAGCCTCCACCAACTTCAATAAATGCTGCTTCCATCACATTTGACTAAAACACAACCAACATCAAACTCTCTTCGCTTGTGAAAACTTAGTTAAAAACTTCACTTGGACTCGCCTACTTATATACTTACACAATAACATTCCAGAACTTTCTAAATAGTCTAATTATGGAAAGATTACAAAATATACTGCTTAAGGAACGCTTACACAAGATACTAAACTAAACAAACTATGAACTCTCACGAAGCTTCTAGAAGGTCATGCTAGTTGTGTAATACAATTTTTCTTAACAACATCCTTTGCCCAAAGAGTGACAAGCCATCTAATGTCTCTTTAAAGCAGCAAACAGTCAGCTAGGTCATGAGAATGAAGGAATGATTGCCATCTGAAGAAGCTCTTGATTGTTAAACAAATTCTCTTTGTTGGTACCCTGGGAATTATACAGAGAACATTATTGGGAATATGCATTCAGCTGAGAGACGGCACAAAGGGTCAAGTTCTTACCTTACTTGAAATGTACGTCACATTTATGTTGTGCAAGACTTCCAGCTTGTTCTGTTGTATATGCATTTTCTAGGTGAAGTAATTCACGCACTTCTGTTTGTCTTGCTTTGAAGTAAACTTTCTTGCTTATAAAAAATTCCTTGCTTTTTATAAAAGTTAGCTATTTGTTTCTTTTAAAGACCCAGTTAGAGGGGCAAAGTAGGCTTTCTTTAGCCTTAGTGAAGAACATCATTCATTTAATAGGGAAATATCACATTCCTAGACTAGATATGATATTTGAAGAACTGACGGTGAATGATATTTGTGTACTGGTTTCAATACAGGTAGATAACTTTATTTAATGTGGGTAAAAGCACTTTACAGTTAAAACTGATAAACTAGTGGTTTCTGTGAATGTAAGTTTTTGACCGCCCACTCTTACTTATTAGGAACCTTATGCAATCAGGACAGCAACACCAAGGAAGACTTCGATTAAAAAATGAATTTCTTCTACTCTTAGTTAGAATTTCAAAAATGGTTGCAGGAGCTTACTGTCTTATACGGCGCTACAGCTCAACTTCAGCATGACGTATAAAAGTAGTGTCGAGTTCCAAATGGAAATTAAAATAATTTGCCGTCGCGGTTTCATTTCGCAGATGACGCAAATTTTGGCGATTTCACGTTGTTGTTGTGCATAGGACAGCTAAGAAATGTAAAAAGTTTCAAAACGCATGTGCTGAGCTATTGTTCTGCCAATTAGATCTCTCGTTTTTCCACGTCCTCGCTGCCGTCGCCATCGTGGTTGCGTAAGGTCCCTACTTTCTCTGAGTGAGGGCCAGGAACAGACAGACAGACATTGTTACTGTTTTTTTTTTCCTTTTATTTATTTGGTAAACTGAATGATACATGCTCTTATTTATAATCTGTTGAAGGACAGACTCACAGATGGCGTCGCATTTACAACATTTTACTTTTTTTATCTTTTAAAACAAATAGGGCTGGTTATTTACAGCCTGAGGTCTAACCCAAACTGTGGTTGTTATGCAATCAGTGGGCCTCAGTGATTCTATAGGAGGGTTGACTTAACTAAATGAATGTCCTTCCACTGTTAGCTTTCAGTCCTCTTGACACTGTTCACAATAATACATGTAGATGTTCAGATAAAAGGTTTGGTAAGATTGAAGATGGCCCGCTTGCATTGTGAATTTGTTAACCAATAAACTTTGTTGAACCCTTGAACTCCCAAGATCTGATTGTTAATTCTCCCCTCTAGCTGCTACACATTTCCTTGTAAATTAGTTATGAGAATTTGGTGTTCAATCAAGGGAACAACGTTTTCCTGATAAATTTGAGTATTCTCACTACCAGGTAACTGGATAATCTATGGATGTTATAGGGAGAAGTTATAATTATGTTAATCACTTATGGGTGTTAAAGGGTTAGATAACCAGCGTATAGATTCTCACTGGGTCTGTACAGGGATAAGTCACAGAAGATGTCAAAATGTAATAAAATTAACAAATGGTAAACACCACAGCGTACGCTATTGAGTTATGGATGCACACGGGAGGTTGCTAAGCACGAAAGAAGTGTAAGAGTCGTTCAAGGCAATAGCCGAGAGCCACTCTAGCTTCTTGAGTGCTTAGCAAACCTCCCAAGTGCATCCATCACTCAATAGTGTACGCTGTGGTGTTTACCATTTGTTTTATAATATAACATTGATACATTGTAGCTAAAGAGTTCCCTTTTATTTAACAAATCTTGCGTGGCCAGAAAAAACAAGTGCCTGCAGAAAAATAGTCTTTGCATTTAATTTGCTCACCTCAGCAGCATACACCCATGAGCAAATGGGGGACACTAAATCGACCAATCAGAACATGTGCTTTACTTTGGTTATGTTATAATTGAACTTTGATTACCTGGACTTGTTGGGACTAGACGAAATAGTCCAGTAATTGAGGGTCTGGATAATCCAGAATATGAATTTAATGAGGAACAAAAACCAATTAACTTAAGAAAGCCACATTTAATCCTGAAATAAAACATTTACAAAGTGCTTTGAAAAAGATATGATCTGCATCTTCACTGTTCTATGCTAATACCTCTGTTTTGAATGAATTACAGTTCATGTTTGTAAACTATTTCAAAATCTATAAATCTATTCATTGAAATGCTGAGATGCTTCTGGTTCAAATCAGGGCTCGACACTAACGGTAGCCCACTAGCCACAGACTAGTAGAAATTAGTTTTGGCTAGTGGTTTTCAATTTCCACTAGCCAGTTTAACTAGTAAACTGACTGAAATTTTTGTAACATCTAAAAACATCTAAGGTGTCACTAGCCACTTAGCTAGAAAGTTGAAAAGTTAGTGTCGAGCCCTGCAAATGCTGTTACCTTTTTTCAGAACCTGGCCACTGGGCTCAAGAACTTTAGCAAGTCAACAAGGAAACAGTTTACATCTCTTCTTTCCAAAAACTTAGGACTTCATGAGCAAAGCTGTATAATTCTTCATGTCTTTCCAGTGAGTACAACAAATCACAGCCAATAATAATGAAAATGATCATTAGGATGTTATACGTTAGGGGGAAATATCAACAAATAGGCAAAGTGGGAGGCACTGAAACTCATAAAACTTGTACATGTCTTGTGTCATAATGCTACTGTCTTGGTTGTAAACAATTTCTACAGAATCTCTCAAATCACCCAAGATATGTGTTTTCTTGTGTGTGTGTTGTCAAAAGTTTTAAGCACACCTGACAGTGTGTTCTTTCATATGTTACTTCAGTGCTGTTAGGGTTTCTACAGCATCTGTGTTTTTTGTGTGTGTTTGTGAGTGTGTTTTCTTAACTTGGAATTTTGAAACACCTGGCTAGGATCAGTAACACCTGTGCAGTATTGACCATAGCAGTACTGGGAAATCAAGAAGGAAGTGCTTTGATCTTAGAGGATGGTAGCAAAAACACTTACACATGTGACCCACTTACTGGTAACCCTGCAACTTCCAAGATCTGATAGTTAATTCTTCCCTCTAGCTGCTACGCATTTCCTTATTAATTCTTTACAAGAATTTGGTGTTAAATCAAAATAACAACTTTTACCTGATAAGTTTGAGTATTCTCATCACCTGTTTGTGGGATAATGTATAGGTATTCTAGGGAGAAGTTACATGTTAATCACTGCTGGAAGTTAAAGGATGAAGCAAATAAAACACTTAAAGCAGTGTGATGGTTATGGACTTTTATTTGAAAACAGATTAATAGAAACCTGTGAATGACACTTTTTGTGAAACTATACAACATTCTTATCATCCAGGATTAGTGATAAAAAGGCAACAGGGTGCACCCACATTTTATTTTGCAGATTTCCCTTAGAAGGATCCAGATTGAACTTTATTGTGAAAAAGACATGGTTAAAGCCATGGGGTCTGAGTGGGAACCAAATGTATTTATTCCAGCCAACAAAATGATCCAGACCTTAGACAGCCCAAGGATGCAGCCATTCTTGCGAGAATTCAACATAACTGCTTATGGAATCAAGGTACAAAACACTTGAACCTTTTACTCCAAAGATCTAAACACAGTCAAACCTGTAAATAAGGGTACTGTATGAACTGGTCACAGTCGCTAAGGGCTGCACTCAACCAGGATGCATAGCAGGATGGTGACCATTTTCAGTATTTTCTGTATTTCGATAAGGTCGTAGTAGTAGCAAGTATGATAAATATTGTAAGAAATAGACAAATACTCCCTTTCTTGCTTTAGTATTCTGGACTCTGCTAACAACTCGATTGATTTAAAACTCAAAGAAGCTTTTTATATAAATAAGGTCAAACCTGAACTTAACAAACAATTACAGCATTATAACACTTTTCTAGCATTTCAGTTCACACTTTTGATGTTTGGTGTCACGTTGTAATTTATTAGTACCCGCTTTTGTATTACATTATACTGTAAATATTGTCTGTTATATAATTACTCACGTTCTGTTACTCATTGATTGAAGATGGCATAAGCATGCTGAAACATGTCTCAAAAAAGTTGTCTATTTCTTACAATATTTTCTGTCTTACAGAAAAAGCTTATTTTGTGTAATATTATTTGAATTAGTCTTTGCGATCTTGATTGAGAACCAACTTTTTGTAATTTTGCCATTTTATTCTATGTTCACAATAATGAAGCCATTAAAAAAATAAGATGTCCTGCTGGGATGGAAAGCTGCCATATCCCATGGCTTACTTAGGGGCTTCATTAAGGGCGGGGCACTCAGCAAATTGACTGGTTGTGAGGATGGTTTTGCCCACCTGGTTTGACAATCTGGAGGAAAGTTTATCTTATAAAGAAGTTAAGTCCAAAGAGTTTTGCCTGCCTGTGAAAACCAGTTGCCCCCTTGCTGAGAACATTAATGAAAGCCTTGCTTACTAAAAAAAGCATGGAATGAACAAAAGACAGCTTTAGGATTTGGCAAGAAAGCGAGCAGGGAAATTACAGAGGCACTGCCACACAATATTTTGGAGAAAACTTAAACAGAAAGCTCCTATCAGCATTTGGGTGATCATCGGTATAGGTAATCGCATGGGGCTGAGTAAAATGAAGGATTAATATCATGTGTGTTTTCGGAAGTTGCTGAAATTGCCCAAGTCGCGCAGTGACAAGGGCAATTTCTGCAACTTCCGAAAACACAAGTGATATTAATCCTTCATTTTACAAGGAACCATGTGATTACTTGTTTATAATATAGGGGCAAAATGTTTTCTTACTGATCTCACGCAAAACGGGACACCATTGTTACAAAACAAACAGAAATTTCTTTACCTTGGCAGCCGTTGCTAAGCGATTTTCAGCCAATCATTTTCAAGTAATTTTTCCCAGGGCAATTACAAAAATTAAGAAAAAATGCCCTCTGTCTTGACCAATCACAATTCAGTAATTTTGCCCCTTATATGATAAAAGATTGTTATTTTCAGGCTTACCACATTTTGTTCAAAACATTTATTTATTTATTTATTTTTACAAAGGACACCCCTGAAATAGACCTTGCTGTTTATCAGGAAATGTGGTTTCCTGTAGCAGTTGTGGCTGGTGTGACAGTTATTCTCATATTTCTGGCCATTGTTTGCCTGGTAAGTCACTGCAATTCCAATTTCCTGTACATCATATATTGTTTGTTTGGTAAGTCACAGCATTCCCAATTACCTGTACATCAGATTAGAATGATCACCTGATAATAATATTGACAATTGTCTTATTCCCGGTCATGTAATTCCTAAAATTGCAAATAATCTAATGCTCTTAACTAGTTTTATGATATTTCTCCATTTTCATGCTCTGAGAAGTTAGTGTCTTATCCAAAATACATTTCCTGATTTTACATTTTTCTTAATTTTCATTAATTACGTGCCTGTTAGATATTGTATTGGAATTCAAAATGTCAAACTCAAAAGATAATTTAAACACAAAAGACTCTTTTGAGCTAAATGGGAAACCAGCAACTGCAATAATCATTGAAGGCAAATAATATCATGTGTAAAAAAATGAGCTAAACACCAAACTTTTAATGAAAGTAGAACACTAACAGGTAACTGTGATGAATTTGTTTTTCTTGAAGCTGTTTTGCCGGCGTCATCTGGAAGCCAAGGCTGAAGAAGAACATCGTACACAACAGCTTGACCCAGAGAAGCTTCTCTATCCCACTGTTGACCCTGCAAACAACATGTCAGCCAGCATGATCCAGCCTGACGCAGGACGGATGTATACAATTACTGGCTTACAAGCCATTGGCCCCAAGCCAAGAAAATGGAAAGGGTCTCAGTTATCCTTATCAGACAGGTCAGACATATTTTACAACTTCTAAACATTCTTTTTTTCTCATATCTCAGAATCTTTAGTATAGGGCTAAAAATAATCTGTATTTGGATTTTAGGCGTGGTTCCAAAGCCTCGTTAGTCTTAGATCTCAACAGATCATCATCAATGGAATTAGGACCCAGTTCTTCTGCCCCAAGCATATTAGAAAGGTAATAGTGCTAAGTTGTAATGTTATTTAAAGCTGAAAATAAGACTTTCTTTTGTTTTCTTACTCAAAATTGTTAGAAAGGTGCTATGTCATATTTCAGCGACAGTTTCAACACATCTCTCATCAATGAACTGAGAGTTGAAAGAAATTAAGTGTACATTTTATTAAGTGGAACCTTTGAACAAGAATCTAGCTGTCCAGTGTGAAGATATTGGAGAGGGGAGCCTAATGAGATGTTTTATTTTCCTCTCCAAGGCTATTCTGTAAGTTTTCATATTCCTGAGAGCAAAAAAAAATTTAAGATTTCAACTTAATAAATAATTTATGCTAGTGAATTGAACAGAATCCTTCCAAATCTTTTCATGTTTTTAATTTGAATGTCACATTGTGTGTAATTTTTCTTTTTGCAGTCCCACAGAAGAAAAACTGGCTTCTAAATCCAGGCCTCTAACTTGCAATGAATTGGAAGACAGTGTAAATAATCCAAAGCAACTTTCTACTGAATTTTGGGTGAGTTGCAGATCTAGTGAATTACTTAAATATGATGGTAGTTATGATGGTTACTCTTTGGTAAAGAAGAGGCCTTCCTTAGAGCATTTTTTCCTCTCAGTATCTTTTTTCGTATTAATCAATTGGTAGATTTGATAGTTCACTCGAAATTAATTTTGAAATTATGAGCATATATTTGAAAGTTTAGAGACAAGAAAGATGATTAAATTTTATTCTTGCTCTTAGATGTATTCATTTGTCTTAGGCATGGCACAAAGAAATATTTTGAGCATACATTTAATTGTTTACTGACAAGAAAAATGATTAGATTTTATTCTTGCTCTTAGATGTATTCAGTTGTCTTGGTTGTGTCACAAAGAAATATTTTGAGCATACATAATTTGAATGTTTACAGACAAGAAAGATGATTAAATTTTATTCTTGTTCTTGGATGTATTCATTTGTCTAAGGCGTGGCACAAAGAAATAGTTGAGCTCCCTACAAGGATTTGTACCTCAGGGCCCAGTTGTTCAAAGGGTAGATAATGCTATTCAGCAGATACTTTTTATCAAAATGCACTGGATAAAGATTTTATCAAACAACAAGGGCTATAACTAAGATGTCATGCTCTGCTCCACTACTGAAAGAACATGTTGAGTGAAATTTTATTGTTATTCTGAAGCATAACTCTCAATTTTCTTCTTCATTTATCTAGGAAATGCCAATGAATCATCCTCCTCCAGAGGAGAGGATTCCTGGTTCCAGTTACAGAAATAGATATCCATTTATTTTACCAAGTAAGCCACATGTCTTAAAGCAGTTTATTTAAAAAGTTTTGGACATGTAGTCTGGTTGTTTGAGTGAGAGTACATTTACATTTACATTTTTACATTTATATAGTGCAGACTTCTATGTGGATATATTCAGTCGCGCTTAATGATATCGTAAGCCCAGAGTAGTCCCATCAACAAGTACCATTCACCTCTGAACTAAAAACTATAAAAGTGTTAATCGCCTTTGGCCATCAAGAAGTGCACCTTTTTTTTTTCACAGCACTAAGGTAGAGAGAGATGAGTCAAACATTGTGGCTTTAACTTGAAAATGAACCAAAACTGCAGAGGTATTCAGATCAAAGAAAATAGAATCCCTGCAGTAGCATGTAACTTATTACATCTCGTCACATTGCTAGAAGGGATCCTTACTCTTTTGTTCAGTTTATTTTAAGTTTTCATCTCAGCTTATCAAGAAATTTAACCAAAGGCTTTCTTATACCTAGAGACAGAGATTATTAGTGTTAATACAAATGATGATGTAAATCCTGTCTAGCCAGTGTCCTTTAAGTGCTTTGCCACTTGATGCTTTTGAGAATAGTGCCCAATTTCAGCGAGCACAAAAGAAGCTAAAACTTCTCATCTTCTCCTCCACTCAGCACAGGACACCCACCATCATGCTCTGTGTTAATACAAACTGTATTCTGTTCATTTTCAGATAGTAGAAGTAGGGTGAATCTACCTGAAATACCTGGAGATACTTTATCTCGTTACATTAATGCAAATTTTTTGAAGGTATGTTTAAAAGTGGAATTGCTGTTTTATTATATTTCATCAGAGCTCACTTAAGGTTACTTCCTACCTTCAGAGGCCAAAAAAAACTTTTTTTTTTTTTTTTTTTTTTTTTTTGGACTAGATTGAAGTTAGACATTTTAACTAGAATTTACAGAAAAAAATTTAAAATCTCGACTTATTTAGAAAAACGTATTTTCAAATAAAAGTTAATAAATCAGGAAGGTGTCATAATCTCGTAAATGGGCAAACCCCCCCAGGGGAATGTTCACGGAAATTTCATGTCGTTTGCGTATTTTGTTTACATCACGCACTTGACAAAATTCTCACGTGGAAGTTATCTGCATGTAGAAAGTCTTTTCTCATGGATAAAAAAGATAACTCAAAATTAGAGAGGAGTCCTTGGGTAAGAAAAAATAACAGGCCCAAAGAAGAGAGAAATGGTAGCATTTTGTCAAAAAAAAAAAWTTCCTTGCTGAAAGCAACAAAGGCTCTTGGTTTGGCCAGGAGCCTTCGACAAGCTCGGCATCTGCTAAAGATCAGCAGCATTCGATTATCCTTGGGGCTAGCAGCTCGAAAATTAAAGTCAACACCACAGAAGGTTGTAAACAAGACTCTTCGTCAGAATCTGACGAAACCGATGGAGAAAAGGAAGAATGCGACAGATTTACCGTTTCTGCCGCGGGTTTTTCCTTCGCCGACTTTGTCCATTACTAAACGAGCAACAGAGCAAGATAAAAAAAACATGACTGCTACATGATACTTTTTCCGGGAAAATCTTAATCCATTGTCATTGATGCTAGGAGGCCTCGTCTTCTCATTGGTTTGCGGTTTCAGGAGGCGAGATAATCTCCTGGTGTGGCGCTAGTTGTTTACAAACCTTTAGAAGCTAAAATCTCGCATTTGATTTTGAGAGGAATACATCCACTTTGAGCGAATTTATAGGGTATGTAGATTTGACTGATTTTCATGAAATTTCGCCAAAACATTCCTTAAATGATGACGATCAAAAGTTCATCAGGAAATTTTGATATTTGAAATATTTTTTTTGTGGTGTCCATTTACGCAACACACTTGGCATATTTTTCGCTACTCTAACTTAAGATGCGAGTATCTAGACAACCAATCAGAATATTGGAAAAGCCTGACACACTTTTGTTGATTGATGCCTTTTGAATGAGACTGTGCAGCCATTTTTCTCGTGGCGTAGGATCCGATACCTGATAAATTCAATTGAAGGACCCTCGGTCGTTTCACGCCTTACCGGCTCCTGACACTTCCTAAATGAAAAAATCGCCTAAATTATATTTTCATCGTAAACTGCATTTATTAAGCTTTGTTTTGATATTGAGTTTGTTAGAGTTTTCTTCAAACTAGCGCGCGTACGAATATTTTACCGAAGGACACCCGCGAAGGTAGGAAGTAACCTTAAGCATGTATCAACACTTTTGATAGAAACGAAATGCTTATCTCACATTTTTTATTCATTTTCAGGGTTATGAGAGTCGAAAGGAAGCTTACATAGCTACCCAGGGTGATTATCTAGTCAAGCTCCAGTTTTAAGGTGGCTGGTACTAGTTTCCATGTGGGAATTACTAAACCCACAAACTAAGGCTATTGCATGAAAACAAGTCCAGTGTCCCCTTGTTTTTATTGTTCCAATATAATATTATCAGTGAGTAGAATTGTCAGAAAAAATCCTAGTAAATTCTACAGAAGGAAATTTTGCACTGCGTGAAAGTTGTCTTTTTCTAAATTTTCTGTTTTTCTCAAATCTTTGTGCATTTTCCTTTTCAAGTGCCAAAAGCAATCGCAAAAAAAAATTACGGGGTCACTGAGTTTGTTTGGAATTATTTGAGCCATAAGCTAAAAAAATGCCTCTAAATAATCCTTTGGAAGGGTTGCCATGGAAACTGCCAGTGACGAAATGACACCCATTTTTGGATAACCAATTATTATACAATTCAACTCTGTAAAAGTGTTGGACTGGCCTTGGTCAGTCTTTTTGTTGTATTCTTTCAAAGTTACAAACCATCAAAAAGATGAAAACTGGTACTAGCCACCTGGTATAACAGATAACTGCCTACAAAGACCTCTTAGTGAGATTAGGTCGCACATGAATTAATGAGCTCTTCAACTATGAAGTGGAAGAAGGTTATAAGAGAATAAAGTATCCATTCACTAACTTAAGAAGTTCTTGATTATTAACTAAAGGCTGATGGTTTCTAAAGAAACTGTTTGGGGCTGCGTCAGTGGGGGTAACAAAATAATTTGAATATATCAACAAAGTTGAAATGGTAAATTGGCCACCGTAACGATTACAAAAGCTGACGTTTCAAGTGTTAGCCCTTCGTCGGAGCGAGTAGAGGAATTGTGGGTTGTGCGTGCTCATCTTTCAAACCAGCAGTCTAAATCCCACAGGTATCAATGAACGCTTTTCATTCCACTAATTTATTCTTGATTATTAAACAAATTCTCCTAGTCAGCACTTAAGGCAATGTATATTGAACACCATCAAGAACATGAATGCTGATTTCAATTTGTGAAGGATTCAACAAGATTGAGCTTCAGTAGTAAAGATGCTAGGAGGGGTCTTGAGAGCTTGCCAACCTAACACTGGATTGGGATTTTTAAATTTCTTGTAGAGCTTACCCACAAACACACACAAATGGTATAATAATCTATAAGTAACCTCCTCCTTATGTAAAACTTTGAAGAATATCATTAATGTTTTCTCGTCTAGGTCCTTTGTCAAATACAGTAAAAGATTTTTGGAGAATGATATGGCATCACCAATGTCCAATCATCGTTATGATAACAAAACTCAAAGAAAGAAATGAGGTGCAGTTTGTATGGCAAGCTTACCAAGTGTATCATCTTATTATATTTACAGGGATCGTGTTATTAGAAAGCTTATATTTAGTAGAATGCTTGTATTCAAAATGAAATTGCTTTCACAATTCTTATTAAATCTCTTTTTCCTTTCTTTTTTTTTTGTAGTTGATTAAATGTGAGGAGTGTAGCCAACCCCCACCACAGTCACCTCTTGTATGAGGCATGATAAATCATGATCAGGGTTGTCAAAAAAACTGGCAACTGGCACGTTTCACTGTCTACTTTGATTAACACAATGGCTTTTCAGAATGCTTGTGGCTCAATTCTCAGCATAAAGGCATGACATTGTGCTGTCTACTATGTACGACAGTCCGCTCACTCAAAATATTTTTCACAACCCTGCATGGTAGCAATTTACAAAACCACACAGTTTCCCTCGTCCCTCTTTTTTCTTGCTTATTTGCTCTTGGACCCACTGTTTTTGTTCAGCTAGTTTCTCTTATTCAAGCGAACACTTTATTTTGTCAGACAAAATGTGAACGATATTGGCCAGATCCAACATTCCGAATGCAAGAGAAGTATGGAGACATTGTCGTCACATTTGACTCTGCAATTGGACGAGATGGATATCAGATCACTTCACTTTACATCAGTGACTCACAGGTAATTTTACTAGTAAAGTCAATTTGCCCTTGTCCTCCTGGAAATGATTATCATTAATTAAAAGTTCTCACACTTTCAGTACATTTTCCTGCCAACAATTAATGAGAGCAGACAAGCTTATTGCATAGAGGGTGTTATCTTGATGAAGCATGAAATAATTTTGTGTTTACTTTATAAGAAAATGCATGGTTATCAGAAGGGAGATTTACTCATTCAATTAGAAAAGTTATGGAGTAAGTCCTGTGCATTAATTGTTATCTAAAAGGAAAAAAAAGAAAAACAGATATGTGGCTTAATAACATGCAACATAGAGTGCAGTGCAAATCAGGCAACACTGATTTGTGGGTAATGGGAGATTGTACTGTGGAAGTTTTGTCCTTTTACCATAATACTTCAGATATTTCAAATGAGCTTCAGTTTGTTTACTTTATTTGTATAAGTAATCACATGATTTCGAGTGCAATTTGGAATAAATAAGCACAAGTAAAATTTTTCAAAGACTAACAAAATTGCATGAGCCTGTAGGGCGATGGCAATTTGTGGTCTTTGAAAAAATTTACAAGAAATTTTTTCATGTATATTATTAGATATGTAATTATTTTTCTTATGCATACCATTGTTTCATGTTCTTTTATTTGATGTTCCAGTCATTAGAAGCTCCACGAAGAGTTTACCATTACTGGTACACAGCTTGGCCTGATCACGGTGTCCCTGATTCACCAAGACAATTTTTAAGATTAGTAGAGGAAGTGCATGTTGCTCAGGCAAGAGAGGATGTCAAAGAGGGCCCTGTTGTTGTTCACTGCAGGTTGGTTATCAGTGTCACTAACCACAAGAGTAGCTAGTGAATTTCCATCAAGAAACCTTTGGCTCCCTATGGTAAATGAAATTGAAAATGAATAAAACAGTAGTGAGACACATTTTAATTTCACATATTTTTTTAGTTTGGTGGTTATATTTGGCTATGAATAATAAGAAAAAATCTGAATATCAAAAAAATTGTTACATATATGTTTTAAGTACATGTAATAAAAAAAGAGGTTGATGAAAATTTAAGGGTTCATGAATTCCCTCTTTGACTGACTTTGATCTTCTTCCTGTTGTTTGGTTTTGTTACACACACTGTATCTGTATCAGTATCACAGAAATCATGAGCTCAAATTAGAATTGAAACCCTAACTTTTTATGTATTTTATTTCATTTCATTTTATTGTAAGGTTTCTTTTCTTTAGTCTCTGTGGCTAAAGTTCTTTTGCTTGTAACTGTCTTGGACAATCTTCTGTGAGATATGACGTGACATTCACCCCTTAACTTTTGTTTGCTTTTCTCATAGTGCGGGAGTTGGAAGAACAGGATGCTTTATTGCGGCCAGTATAGGAATTGAACAGATCAAGGTGTGTATTGTTCAGAGGAGAACTCTAATGCCATCAGCAAAGCCCCTGTAGAACTGGATTGAAGGCTTGGGTTGAATTTTTTATACTCTTTTCTTTCAGAGTTGATGCATTTTTTTTGCTTGTTTTTCTTAGTGTTGCATACTTAATGGTTTTGTTTAAGTAACTATGGCTCACTTAAAATATAAGTGTGCATTTAGCTAAGGAAATAATAGTTTGTTAGTGTATGCCATAGTCAAAAAGGTTATTAGGTAAGTGAATTGAAAGACATCAGGCCAACTCAACTCCCATTTGGAAATAGTACCCTATAACTCTAAAGCTTGAATTTTTTCCACCATCAGAAAGAAGGCCTTGTAGACATTCTAAAGGTAGTGAGCCTTATGAGAATAGAAAGGTGAGTGGCATCCAAACTCTTTAATCCTTTTACTTCTGAGATTAAAATATTTCTTCTTCAAACTGTTTGTTATCCATTTCTTATTACCTTATCATAGAGAACTTATCATAGGTACTTAAGATGAGAACATTAGGCATTTAATGAAATAATTGTTGAAATTTTTTTAATGTGCTTTGCCTTACCTTTCCATTTGATGGTGTAATTAGAAATGCATTTTTGGTCTCTCTTGGGAGTGATAGGGTTTAATTGCTTCATGTGAGACCTTTCTTCCACCGAGCAGCAAAAATAAGGGGTGGTTATATATCATGATTTTGCTTCTCTGGTCACCATGGTTTTGTTGCTAGGGTTGCCATGGTTTTGTTTCTGTTGTTGCCATGGTTTTGTTTCTCCATAAAAGTGATCAGATGTGAAGCTGAAACCACTCACAACCTTTCAATTTACATTTTCTCCTGATTTAGGCAGTTCTTATTATTGAAATACATAACTTACGGTTTTCACTGATTTCCATGCAATACTTTTCCTGCTCTGATTGTGTTTTCTGATTACTTGGGTTTGGACATAATATTATTCACCTAAAAATTGACTGCCCCTATGTAAAAGAATATTTTTTTCTTTTTATTCTTATTGAGTGAGTGGGAGGGCAGACAGGAACATATTTGGCCTTAGGTCATGATGTACAAACCCAGAACAGCTAGGTTTGTGCTTCAGACAAGAGCCAGATATTTTCCCATCCAACTGGAACTAACTTTGTCAAGAAGTATTGTATCTTTCTTTGCTTTCTTTGCTCTTTCTTTTTCTTTGTTTCTTCTTTCAGCTCTTATCTCGCATGGCAGTAGGGTTTTCTACAGCCCTGCATAAGTGTTCTGTCAAATGTTTTTCAATAAAATTGCCCATGGGCTGTATGGATTATATGATAAAAGTAACTGTTATCATAATGGTACTCTTAGTAATAGTAACAAAAATGCACCATATATAACTTAATTCATTTTCCAAATCCTCAGGGGTGGTATGGTGGAGAATGAATCACAGTATGAGCTCATTTACAATACTCTTCATCATTTTTGGACAACACGTACAGGGAGTGATGATGATACCCGCGACATAGCACTTGAAGCAATCTTTGATGAATAATCCAAGACAAATGCAATGATATGGTGTTTGGAATTCTTCCTACATGCTGGTCATGGAAGATGTAGTGATTTGACAAATTGTACAGATCTATTGTGGCTGTCGTCAATCAAAGTGAGCACAAAGAGAAGTGACTAATGCACATCACTTTTTATCGTCAACAATTTAAGATGTGCATTTAGAAGATTTTATTTATTTATTATTTAAATCAGTGGATTGTACATATTTAGCAATAACTGAACCACAGTGAAGTTTTCTTCAAGAGTTTGTTCTCAGCTGTTAGCTTGCATGAGGCTGACATGAACAATTCTTTGCATTAAATAGTGATGTCTCACAGCATGCCATTGAAAATAATATTGCAAAAGCATGGAGTATAGCAAACAGTTTAAGGCTAGTCACAAGGGAAATTTTTCAGAATATCAGCTGTTATCCTGCTTTTCTTGTGGTTCATACCAGTTTGTGGAGGGACTGTTTCATGATGTGCTTAGAATAAGTTCAGTTTACAGAAGTGCACAGATGAAGAGGCATACCAATGTTAGACTTCTCCCTTGCAGGCCAAGGGATTTATAAGAAAATTTTGGTGACAAAGAATTCTCAATTGAGATGTAAATCACCTTGGTTCTTCCATCTCTCCATCTCTTTAATTTATTAAGTTGCTTTGGTATACCTAATGCTTGGACAAAGGCAGTTTTTCTTTAACAACTGACTGCCACATGAACGGTCAAACCATGATTCTTGAAAGGGCAAGAATGGGAAGGAAGAAGCTGGAATTTGGAACAAGAGACAAGCTTATAATCTTATGGTATTATCGCCAACATTATTGCCACTGTCATCATCTAAGTTGTTGGTTTTTTTGTTGCTGTCATCTACACCGCTATCATTGCTGTAATCACAATGATATGGAGAATCAAATGGGGTAGACAAATGGTTACAACTTTTAGCCAAGAAAGCACTTCCTTCCCAATGCTCACAGATAAGTTCTTCTTCATTCTGTGGTCTGCTGTCAACACTTCCTTGAAAGAATTCATAAGGTGATTTGTGTAACACCCCCTTGCATGTCTGCCATAATATGACTGTGTTGAGATCTTGACCAGAAACAAATTCATACTCCTTATTTGTAATTTTTAGCAGGGAACAAGGAATTCATCAACATCTTTAGTATGTGGTGATGACTTGTTATGCTAAGTTGTGTTAATTTAGTTCCCTGACAAATGGAGAACCTAATGCTTTGCCAGCTAAGAATTTGGCATCAAAAGTATTTTATTTTTAAGTTTTATTAGAAGGGTCCTTGAAGTTAAATTATGAAAAAGATTATTATCATTAGGTATTTTCATTTGTTGACAAAAGTAGAGCACTAAGAATATCCTCAATTTACAGAATTATCCCATAGTATTTATCAGAAATGAATGTACAGAAGTGTTATTGAGGGATTTTTGAAATTCTTCTTTAGATATTTAATCTGGCCACAGGAGTAATATTTACAAGCATTTACAAGAATGAAAAGGAAGGTTTAAGAAATTTATTTAAATATTTGTGTACATAGTGTTGAATGTGCCGCATTAAAATGAAAACTTGGTTTGAATCATGTTTAGCGGGTCATGTTCACTACTTCTTTAAAAATTTTCTGCCAACTTTGTTGATATTGTTGTTTATACACTTGTAGAGGTGAAGTGTGATTGTGAGCCAATAAGCTCTCATCCTTCATCTCTCGGAAATTACCCGCCTGTTGCTTCTTAAAATGCCAATGCAGTGTCTAGCAAACAGCTGAAGGATGTTTTAACAGCGATGGAAAACTGGAATCACTGGCTGGGTCATAAGACTCAAAACATAGCTTCAATTATTATTTGAAGATGAAGGACAGTTCATCATTTAACAACCATTCCATAGCACTATAGAAATTAATTTCTTTTACATTTATTTACCCTTTAACTCAAGGGTATTTATTTGGGGTGGGGGAGGTATAACAATCCCAATGTTAAATGTGAGGCCTAAAAAAATGTCTGAGCATGAGTTGGCATTTTTAACCCTTTCTTCTTACTTAGATCAAAGCAAAATTTTGTCAAAAAGAATTTTCATATTGTTTTGTTTTCTCTTCTACGGCACAAGTGATATCTCCATTAAAGGACTGTAAATATTTTCCCAAGCAAATTGTGAAATCCTAAGGCGTTCCCACTGCTTTGTATCTTGCATCAATAGGAGACAAAGAAATTCAAATTTGACCGAATGGAAACGAAGTTACATTTTAATGCAGCAAGTAAAATATTTATCTGGCAAGTACTAGAGTTATCTCGTGTGGTTCTTAACGATTTTACATCAGGTTTGTCCTTAAAGTAAATCGATATGCTTTTAAGAGATGAACATTTTTATTGAAAATGTTTTAATCACAGTTACCATGTAACTAGTGGAGTGAGTCTAGCATCATGATTAGTGGAATGAGGAGGAAATTAGGTTATACGCTCTTAAATGCGTGAGAATAAAACATCGAAAGAGTTGACGTTTCAATGGTCTAAGGGCTCAGCTTTTTACGCTTAAATGGTCTAGAGGAAAATGAAAAGCAATTCCAAGGTCACCCATTATCAACCGTTTTCAATTTTCGTTTTCAATTTCCCGTTCTAAATTTTCCGTTCCCAATCTTCAGTTCCCAATTTTCAGTTCCCGTTTTTAGTCTCTAATTTCCTTTCTTAATTTTCCGTTCCCGATTTTCGTTCCCAAATTTATGTTCCTAATTTTACGCTCTCAGTTTTCCGTTCTCTGTCACCGGTTCTCGATATCCAGTTCTCGATATCCGGTTCTCGATATCCAGTTCTCAATATCCAGTTCTCAATTTCCTGTTCTCAATTTCCTTTTCCTAATTTTCCGTTCTTAATTTCCCATACACAACTTCCCGTTTTCGATTTCCCTTTCCCATCCACTTCCTCCATTTCTGGGTGACCCATTCACAACTAGTAAATGGGGTAAGTTTCTAAAGAAACTGTGGCGCTACGTCGGTGGGGGTAACAAGGTAACTTGGTTTTATCAGAGCGGAAGGCGAAGGGCTAACGCTCGAAAAGTCAGCTTTTAAACCCCTTACAATGGCCAATTTACGTTATCAACTTAGTTGATGAAACCAAATCAACATTTACAACTAGGACGCTTTCCTTAAGGAGGGCAGTTCTCTATGATAGCGGGGCTCCCACGCGCGCTTTGCGCGCGTGCGGCAGAGTCCCATACCCATGGAATATGGTCAACCTCTTTTCGTTTGATTGTTACGTAACTGACCGAGCGTACGTATGTACGTACGTACGTGCCTTCAGATTGCACCGGCAGGGTAGGGGAAACCATCAAAACGAAGGGAGGGGTGTTTCAGGCGTCTTGGCAAATGCACATCTTTTATGTTATCATTAATATTACGAACTTGGGAGCTCCGCTTTTAGGCTTGGCTAAATCTATATCATTTTATGCTTAATTACACAAAGGAAACTCTCCAAGAAAACCTTGCTGTAGTTTACCTTTCCTTAAACTCATCGTTATGTTTTTGGAGAAGGTCTCCTATCAGACGACATCGATGACAGTGTAGACGCTTGGCAATGTCTATACAATGAAATATTACATCACCACCTACCCCCACGAGATGCTAAAATAAGAGATAAGTCTCTTCCTTGGATCAACACCTCCATCAGGAAAGAAATGAACAAAAGATACAAGCTCCTAAAAAAGGCAAAGTCATCAGGCGACCCCGAATTATGGGGTCTCTACAAACAGAAGCGATATGAGGTTAAGAAGCTACTAAGAAGTGCTGAAGNCAAAACCATCACACATGGAGTTCCCCAAGGCTCAATACTAGGGCCAAAATTATTTTCAATATTTGTAAACGATCTTCCAGAATCAATAACTAGTGGTGAATTATTTATGTTTGCCGATGATACCACTATTTTTACAATTGGAAACAACATCGACGATATCATCTTAACACTCCAGTCTGTACTAGACCAGCTGTACACCTGGTGTCAATCAAACAGATTAATCGCCAACGAATCGAAATCTGAAGCCCTGATAATTTCTAGCCAGAACTTTATTGGCCCCCTGCCACGCTTGGCCTTTGGTAATAGCTTTATTGAGTACAAAACATCATCTAAATGTCTTGGGGTGACAATTGACAGCAAGCTATCATGGCAGGAGCACATAAAGAACGTTTGTAAGTCATTCAGCAACAAAGTTGCAGTACTGAATCGGATAAAGTTTTTACCGATACCAACCTTAGAAAACATTTATTATAAAACTATTATCCCTAGCGTTTTGTATGGCATTGTAGTCTGGGGGTCTTGTTCTTCAACCTTGACGGATGATATTGATCGAATTCATTTAAGAGCTACTAGAATTATTTACAACCTACCCCATAGCATCCACAGTGATGACATCATGAACGCTCCACACTGGAACTCTATTGTTTCATTTTACATCAGGAGACTTTTAGTTATTACGTACAATATCTATCATGGAAATAGCATCGAGCCTCTAAATGACTTAATAGTGAAATCCGAGACTCCTTATGACTTAAGAAAATCCCTAAAAGTTAAGGTTCATAGACCAAGAACAGAAATGGGAAGATCTTCGTTTAAGCACAGAGCTGCACTATCCTGGAACCTCCTTCCCGAAGACATGAAGAACAGTTCAAACTTAACTTCCTTCAAGAGAAAACTCAGGGAAAATAAGAGAATTCTGAAATCTATCAGTTTTGCTAAAGCTTCCTGCAGCGTTTCCTACAAATCTGTTGACTTTAAATACTTTTAACATTTACTCCGTATTGTTATTAATATTTATTTCTTTTAATTGTCATTATTTACATACCATTTTCGGTCTATTCACTAATTAGGTATTTATTAATTGATAGTTTAATTGATGCAGGTCCACATCAGGACGTAATGTCTTGCCTATCCCTCAACCTGCTTTATTAAATAAACTATGATGATGATGATGATGATGAAGCCATCTTCTTCAGTAAATTTATGCCGACACTCCAAAATGATAGTTTTATATGGACCGAGGCAAATCAAGCCCGCGTTTACCGGTAACTTAGTCTCCTTGACAGTCATAGTTTCATCTGTCAAGCAGCACTCCGTAAGGTACAGAGAATGTTGCGTGACAAGACCAAACATCGGCTGCGAGGATGACTTTCCCTTACCTTGGCAAGGGTTTTCCACGAAGCGAGAAAAGACACAACGTCACAATTCAACACTGTTACGGGTTTTACTATGACTATTGCAAAGTAAAGATTTGCTAGTTGACAAAATACCTTACTCCCACGAAATAAAAATAATTTACTCCTCTTACACGAACCATCCATCAACTACAACAATGCAATCAAAAGCTGCACGCACAGTTTTATAGCTTCCCGATACAAGGAGAAATTTGTTCTAAAAGGGCTTCTATCTGGCATATTTGATGATATCATCCTGTAAAATGTTATGAACTTTAAGAGGCTTGCAGTATAAGTCTCAAGGCATAATCTCGACTCTTTAAAGAAACTTCAAACTTTCGACTGGCAATCTTATTGTTCGAGATCAAACCATATTTTAGCTTCCGTCAATCACTATCATAATAGAAATTTACCAGTTGCAACTCAGATAAAATATCTAATAGGAGTTACGTCATTCTAGATTATGCGTCACTTTTTGTGACGAGTTTAACCACCGACCTCGTTCTCAGGAGGGAGAGGAGGAAAAGAGTGGACCATAGGAACGAGGTTATGAAACTACCTTCAAGTCAAATCAAACAACAAAATATTACTTTGGTTAAGTGGTGAAGCAGTGAAACACAAGAGGCAATCGCTAGCCAAGGAGGAACAAGGATGACTTTGACAAGGATACCAAACGAGGACCTTGAAGGGTTGTGGGTAAAATCTTCCAGTAACATAAACCTTAACACAGCTCCATTAAGAAGTTCAAAAATATCATCCTTGATTCCTAACAAGTCCACTAAGATGATTCACAGCAGCTTGACACGCATTTTGAGCTACAATTCCACAGTTCGCATGTCATTGAATGGCGCTGTTAATGGCGGATTTAAGTCTCAAATCAATAGTTAAATAAAATTCTTAGCTTTTTAATAAATCATATTACTGCGTTAAGATGAAAAAAGGATTTTTTCGTGGGAGCAAATGCACAAAACAGACGGCGACTGACCGTCCTTCAGTTCCATCCACAGACCAAATGAACAGATTCATATTTCCGCAACACGAGTTTGTCCTCGACCCTAAAAACATACATCCATCCAGCTAAAAATTTTCAAAGAAAGTAGTAGCGCAATTTGCAGCCGGCTAATTTTACGTGATACGCACAGTTATAGAACTTAACTGTCATAACAGTTTAACCCTTGAACTCCCAGAAATGATTAACAAGTAATTTCTCCCTTTAATATCCATACATTATCCCGCAAACAGCTAATGAGAATACTCAAATTTATTAGGCAGAAGTTATCCTGATCTCAAACCAAATCCTCGTAAATAATTTACAAGAAGTTGTGTACAGCCAGAGGGGAGAACAGACAATCTGATCCTGGGAGTACGAGGGCTAAGTATCTCACTGTATTAAAATTAATTATATAATTAACACTCTATAAAAGCTTCATATCTAAGAATTCTCTTTTAGACCTACGGAAAATAAGCAGGTTGTCCAGCCATGAACTATATCTAATTTCAAAGGAAAAAATTACATTTTCTTTCAGGATAGCTTGTTTGAAAACGACATTACAATTGCGGATCTAACACTGTCTCGACATATGTAGGTCTCTCTCTCAATCAAAATTAAGAAGAAACGCCATTCACTGCAGTTACATAAAACATTGTAAATAATTAGAAACAAAACTGTACATCTTCATTGTAATCTAGATAAAATAAGTTCGGATCAATGTCAGTAACTGACCAACAGCGCATCTACCCCCTCCCCCACTAACTTCACCAACTGCGCACCTACCCCCCTCCCCCACTAACCTAACCAACAGCGCACCTACCCCCTCCCCCACTAACCTAACCAACAGCGCACCTGGCCCCTTCCCCCACTAACCTAACCGATAGCGTGCCTACCCCCCTCCCCCATTAACCTAACCAACAGTCAACTTAGAACAAGTTAGGGTCAAAATTGGGTAAAGGGGAGGGGTAGGTGCGCAGTTGTCCACATACTAAGATTGATCCGTTTCAAACGAAGGGTACTACGGTGTAAATCCATAAATTAAGTAAGATGCTGATGATTGAAAATTCATTTCGTTTTTCACGAATGTATAAAAGTACAACAAATGGGGTAAAAATTAAAACGAGCGTCGTTCCTTCTCCAGTTTGCTTGTTTAGAAAAACAACCTTCGCCCCAGATTCCACGCGGATGACGTCAGAAACTGATACATGATTGCCTGTTGCTTAGTTACCACGACCAATCAGAAAGAAACATGGATCACTAGAGTGTTACGTCACAGCAAAAGTCTCGTTATCTCTTAATGACGAAATGGGGGCATCTGACCCTTGAAAACTCCAACCATGCGAAGCCACGATATTCTTACTTCTACAATTTTTTTCCAATTCTCGTGAACTCTCCTTCTAAACTTCTCCAACCATCAATTAAGATTCTGTATGCACACCTGGCAGTTCATCGATGCCAAATTGATAAACAGATTCCTCCTCCTCCACAGATTAAACGAAGAAACCATTTCTACGGCCGCGGGAACAGAACATTTTTTACACATTCATGCTCTGCAGCTTTTCAACCCAGACCTTTGCTTCTTCAGAGGAGTTACACATCAGATTGTAGACTCTTTTTGTTGTTCGCAACTGTAACATGATCAAGACAACTATTAGTTAGAGATTATCATCAGAGTCAGATTTAGCGAACAGCAAACGACTGCCTGCCGTAAATTCGCTGCGTGTAATGATGTCACACTATTTGCATTTTTTTTTTTTTTAATGAAAGACTGAAAAAATTTTCTGTTGGATATTTTTAAGGTTCAAAGAGAGGAAAGCGAAACCAAGGGCACGCTTCGCCGGTTGCGCTTCCCTCCTCTTCTCCTGGACAGAAGGTAACTGCCTTGTATTGAGTTTTAACTCTCCCAGACCGTAAAAAACTTTTTCTTTCTCAAAGCAAACTCTTTCCCATTACTTTATAACTACTGTCAAAAGAAAGAATCTTGAACCTACCCAAAGTAATTGTAAATCTATCCTAGAAATAACAAACTTCCCTTCGCCATTTTCTTATTCTATCTAACACATGTTCATATCTTTAATCAATAAGTAAATGAAAACGAAAAAGGTGCTGTCAACTCACATCGAAAAAGGCTCCTTTTATCGAACCTTTGGGTCCACCTACAACAAGTGGACGAACATTAACATGAGGAGTTAGTATCCAATTCAAAAATGTGCCAGTTATCCCGGTTGAGTGTCACGACATACAGAATAATTCTTAAGTAACTCAAAGGGGAACCCCTGTCGATAGCGCAAATGCAAAATGTCTCTCAGAAAGCGTGAAATGAAATAAATAAGAATAAAAGAAAGCTCGCTAAAAGAAAAGATACTTGTTAAATTTCATGAGAATGGGGAAAATGGCAGCTCCGAAACGCACATGGGAAAGTGTTTAGCACATGCACTTTAGAAAGGGGCACAAGAACTCTGGACTTTATAAGACGGCGAAATCGTCAAAGCGCGTGTATCTTGTAGAGGGATCAGTTTTAATTGGAGTCAAGCAAGAGAAATTTTTAACCCCTTCTGGGGATGGAACCGGTGAAAAAGCAGAGAATCCTTAATACGGTATCAAGCGTGGGGAACCCTGTAGCCCGTTTCAAACACGCGAAAAGGTGTCCGGTTTAAGCGTAGGAAAACCTTAATTCGGCCGGTGTCAAGCCTTGTAGCTAGAGTTAAACGCGCGAAAACGTAAATTTGGTGTTTAGCGCGAAAAAGACACTTATTGCGAGCTAAGCACTGCAGGTAAAGGCTTTCGTTCAGCTCTCTTTGGCAGACTAAAGGTAACTGTGTATAAAGCAGTTGAGAATACATTCCCTCTTACCTTGAGGTATGTTGCTGAGAGACTGCACTGCTATCATATCCCCGAGGTCCACGGCGCCTTGTAAATGGTCGTCATGTTCTTCATCATAATACCGAAGCTAAAAGTGACGGTAGAATAGTTATTTGACAAAAGATGTTACTGGTCTTGTTACGAGTTTTGGGCAAAGAAAACTGACTCCAAATCCTCCACAGAATTGAACCCATTTCGCGCTCTGGTGCTCAAAACTTACCATCTTGCTTATTCACAAGAAGCTTTCAACATTGCTGATCCTAGCAGAATGCAGATGAACCCCAATAGTGGCCTAACTCACCATTCGAGTCCTCTACAGCAAGCACAATTTTTTTTTGTCCCAAGTTCGTAACAAGACAAATACCATCTTTATTCAATCGACGTCCAATTTGAAAATTTCACATCTCACTTAGTCTAATCAAACTCAGTCTAGATCTATAGTAACGTTGAAAAAAAAAAAAAAACTCTTCTATCCAATTACTCCCAACAATGCACTAAAAAGAGTCCACCGAAAAAAACAAAATATACCTCATTTCTCTGAGTGTCCAGAACAAACCACCTGGACTTCCACTGCCGTAAAAGGTGTCCTCTCTTCAACAGGTAACCACAGTGAAGCTTTTTAGGGTGCGCAGCATCGGCCTGGGTTGAACAAACGGTCAATCATGTAAATTTCAAGAACGGTTTGATATTCTCCCTTCTAGCTAATATACATTTCTTTCAGATTAGTTCACAAAAATTTGCTGTTACATCAAAGTAACAACCCCTATCCGAGATGTTGATGTATTCTTTATAACCTAATCGGCGCCAATAACTAATTAATTATTGGGAGGAGAAGTACAATGTTCATCACTTCTGAGGGTTTGAGAAAGATATTTTTTTCCGACGGTCTTGTCAAGAGCATAGGACAAAGAAAAAATTGTGAGTCCCCATAAGAAATCGAACCTCAGACCTTCGGATTCCGCGCTTCTGAAGGTTGTTCACGCTATAAAAAAACACTTCGAAGTAACAATGAACGATGAACAATAATAAGAATAGCAATAACGAAAATGAAAACACCAACTGGAATTCTAAGTGCAAGAATGTAACGAAGAAGTGCTTAAATACAGCTAACAGCGACTGCTGACCTCACTAGGCAGGCTCATGGTACTCTTGGTCATTCCAGACCCAGGCTGCTCAGGAAGATCTCGTTTCTTACACTGCCACGGGACCTGCGGTTGGCACTTTTCATGGCAGTTGTAACCACATTCTGTACACTTCACTCCTGTAAAAATGTAAATAATCTTTGAGTTTCACCTTAAATGAGTTGGTGGTTATTAACACCCATGGCACAATGACCAAGTGGTTACCGCGTTGAAAGCGAGATCGAGAGGTCTGGGTTCTAGTCATTATAATGTGTTGTTGGGCAATAACCTTCAAAAACTACCCAGTAAATGATTTAAATTATGAAGTGACAGTTGATTGTGTTCTGAGGATGACTCCCGCTAAGGATGTCAAAACGATAGTCACTACTACCAACGAGGGTCTGTTACTAGATTACTCTAACACGGACGATCAGATCACAACATCAACACGTGTCAATAGCAACACCTCTCTACACTCAAGAGTATACACGGCTGACAGCAAGCTATCTAGGAGATTCAACGAAATTCTGATGGGTATATCTATGATGAACCAGCATAAAGAACCTATAAAACCCCTTGTTATCCTCAAACTCCGGCAACACCGGGACACAAAGTTCGTGAAAGCTAAGCTAACTTAAACAGGGTAAGAAATCTTCAAACACAACATAACATCGTGGAAGAGCGGCGGAACTCTCACCTTTGTTTAAAATACCAATGATCAACTGTAAACAATGTTCACAATTTGACGGAGGAACAAAAAGATGGGGTTCAAAGTTGTGTGGCTGTGAGAAGCCCTGGGCTCCACGTTCTTCCACTTGGAGCTTACCCTAAAACAAAAGACAAACCTACTATCACCTCTGACAGCCAAAGTTTTCTATGAAGTATCTCTTTGCACACCAATAAACTTTTCGAGCTCGTCATTTTTAATCGGTGTCAATGTTTTCCATTCCCATCCATCCTTGTGCCTTCGCAGTTTATCATTTCCTCATTTGGGTTTTTCTATCATTCCTAACAAACATTCAGTAGTCATTTCCAAGTCCAAGTCTTGTGAATCTTTTCTATCCTGAATCATTCTCGCTCCTTGTTAGTTTGTTATTTCCTCTTTGGTGTCTTTCTTTCCCATCAAACCAATATTTTGTGGCCTTTTGGGAAACACAGAAAGGAAAAAAGTATTGAGCTCACACTCTCTACGGAAGTTGTAATACCTTGAGAATGACTTCCATGGTACTTCTCTTGTGAAGGTTCAGTCGCTGATGGTTGAACCATCTGGTATTATAGGAGAAAACCTGTTAAGACAAAGAAAGCAATTTGACATCTCAAACCGTTACTGAATACAATAAATTTTCGACTTCTGTAACTAAACTTGAAATGGTGCAAGCGCGGCGATCTGCTATTTTGTTATTTCCTGTTATGTTTATGATAGATTTTTCCGTCTACTTTTTGGGTATCTTAACTTCGCGTTACGTCGGGGGACCTATCGTTACGTTATGTTTCGTTAGTAAACGTTACGTCAAGTTGCGTGACGCACCATTTTCTTTGCTGTGGGGTAAGACAGCTTGTGCCAGTGCTGCTCCCATTTCTTGGGTTTCTGATCAGCCTCCTCCTCCAGTCGGTACAGCTCTTGAAGCAGCCATGAGCACTCGTCTAGTGCAAACTGAGTGACATCACCATAGCAACCAGTCATACAGCTCCCATAAGTCTCCTGGTCACAAAGAAAAAAACAAAGGTGTAATTTCCTCCTTGCAAAATTCTCTTACCCATTTGCAGTCAATTTGTGTATTCGTGGACTACTGCAGGAGCCACATAAGAGATTCATCCAGCCTAACATTGTCACTCCGTGTTAGTCTTGGTTTATGTCTTCTTATTTTGTGATTTTTCTATTTACCAGACTAGTACTATCATATGACCCGTACAGCACCCGCGCGCTTTAATTGAAACACATTAGACAAAAATCCTCCTACGAGGGCCGTACTCGATGAGTGAGCAGGACCGCACAAAGCCGTGTGGCCCCCGCAAGCTGCGACCAAAAAAAAGTAAGGAAGAAAAGGAAAGATCGACGGCCATATGATAGAATGCCTATTGACCGAGTTAGCTCGGGCCTTACGGGAAAAATATTTGGCTCTCGGTCATGATGCACCGAACTCGCTGCGCTCAGTCCGTACGTCACGACCTCAAGCCAAATGTTTTCCCCGTCCAGCCCTACCAGTCAACAAGAACCCGACATGTGATTGATCATTCGCTCGATTGTAGTTCATATACTAGCTTCACATACTTATGATAGCTTTTTTTTTTCACACCTGTTTTCCATCAGGGCTTCCTTCATTTTCTACAGTGGTTGTCACATCATTGATCATCTCGAAGTCGTAAGTTGGGCCGGTAGACAAGTTCTCTGTTGTGTAATACTTCCACACCTTCAGATTAGGTACTTTACAGAATGGCCTCAAGACCTGCAAGAAAATTGTAATATCTTAAACTTCAGTTTTAGTGTAAAACTACTGGTGCGTTTAACGCAATTTCCAAGTGAGGGTCGAAAGTATTCTGGGATTGCATTCAATTTGTTTCTCTAAATTCTGTGATTGGTCGATAGAACTCGCCCCACCCCACCCTCTGCCAATCAGACGCAAAACTAAAACACAATCGTGCTTGTTCCCTCGTAATTTCCTGCATTGGAGGACGTCTTCATACATCAACTGGGTATTGCCATTGGGTACTTATGATGTTTAACTTTGTTCCGACTGATTGTTGTAATTACCTCGGATTTAACTTTACGCACAATCAAGAAGTCCCGTGACATCAGATAACAGCATAATCGAATCTATTCGCAGTTTGATTAAGTTAAATGTCTTAGGTGTGTCAAATGACAATTCCCCAGTCAAGAAAATGAATCTCGGTCAATGCCTTATCATCACAGCTTTCTAACAGAAACCTTTTTAAACCCATGCCGTTCGCGTAATAAAATATGTATAACAAGTGCCACGGGTTTCAAAACAGGACGCTCTTTAGCAATTCAAAATTTTGAACTTTACTTCAAAACACCAAGAAAGCCACAAACTTTGAATCGCCGACTTTCGTTATAAATAATGTTGCTACCAGGTCGTTTTTTTTTAGGGGTCTTTATTAAGTTTAATTTTGCTGTTTGTTTAAGGGTTTTCGCGGTACTATCTGCCCTACCTTGGTCTGGTTTGGCGAGTACAAGAAGTTGTTGTACAGAGGTGACTTGGTCTTTTGAAGGTCCATGTAATCCCACAGCGATTTTCCTCTCGGTTTGTGATCCTCCTCTGCCATCCAACCAGACTCGACACGTTCATGTTCAGAATCCAAAAGAAAAGTGCGAAACCTCATCGAAGCATGATGGTAAGCAATAGTACACAGAAAATGATCGTTGAATTCAAAGGACAAAGGAAACTGAAGCATTATCTAAAAAGGTAAAAAAGCATTTTGATGCAAATGAGTTTCACTGAAGACCTTTTGAATCGAGCATGTGGTTCTTTGGGAGGGCATTACGTCTCTGAGTTACAACTCAGCCACCCTAACTGCAACATTTGCCCCTCCTAAGGTAGTCTGAGTGTTAATTGCATGTCTCTCAAAGTGGGCCATTGGCTGAGTCACGAGGATTGTCAGCCAGGTTAGGAGTTTAATTATTCTAGAGCACCAGTGGAAGCCAAGAGTTCACTGAAGAGCACTCAACAACAGCGTGAGTTGCGAAACCTACAAATCCCACAGCGTGCACGCACGTACGCACACACACACACGCACACTAGCCGGGAAAATATCATTTCAGCAGCTTTCCACTTAGGTGCTTCCTCCCTAGCTCTAACAATACACAAAGGGTTTCATAATGGAAATTTCAAATTGGGTAACGAAAGCAATGCAAGCAATCTTCTCAGCAAATCAGATTCAAAACTAAAACCAAACGCGACTTGGACACCCGCGTTTCTCCGCGCTCTACGTAACGTTTTTTTTTTTTTTTTTTTTTTTTTTTTTTTACTTCAAACTCGCATTGGCTCCTTGTGATATGTGATAATTTCCTTTCCTCTCATCGGCTGTAGTGATTATTTGCTTCTGGTTATACGGTATTCAATCGAAATAGGCTCTATATCCGAGGTCTAACCTAAGGATACCAATATCACGTAAACTACCTGATGCACACAGTCCAAGAATTGAAGAAAGACCGGAGTAAACCCTCCCTGGGTTGAAGCGATTTGATTTCCACGGTGGGTGAACTTGTGTCCAAAGGAAAGCCATTCCTTTTCTATTAAAAGTTTGAAGCCATCGATGGTTCGATAGTAAGGATCAAGCATTAGCTCTGCTAGAGACAACACCTGTGTGAAGAAAGAAAAAAGAAATTAATAGTAAATAAATCTGCTCTCTGACCCACATAAGGGGGGTTGTGATGGCTTTGCTTTATTACGCACTGTGATTGGTCACGAATCTCACCTTATCCCCTGCACCAATCAGATGCAAAGTTACAATCAATCTCGATTCCCGCGCTTGAACTCGGCTTCTCTTAATTCTTATTGGTTCCTTTTAAAATTGTCCTTCACTTTAATAAGCCTTTCTGAATACTTTTGTTTTCATTTCACGACCCTGAATTGAAAAGCTCTCGAGCAGACAGTCAAAGACCACAGGGACGGCGATGGCAATAAGAATTTAGCGAAACAAAACCTCATCACAGGTATTTTAAGACTTCTTACTTTCCCAGCCGTCCCTTCAAAAGCAAATTAGTGAAAGCCTTAAGTTTGAGAACACGGATGGAAAATTACTCGCGTTTGTATTTGGGACGAAACGTTGCCTACCCATTTTATGTTCGAGATGAGGTCTAGCGCTGTCAGAGACGGTAAACACGTGCAGCCATTCCTGAATTCTTACGGAAAATATAAATTTAATTTTTTCATCAAAGTGTTCTTAGCATCCCAATCCTAACTGCTTATGGTCCCTAACACCACGTGATGATGTCATTACCTGCGGAGTAGCATCCCAGCCATCTTCAAAGCAAACCAGGACAGAAGATCCTTGGATATCAATGAGATCAACAAAACAGTTGGCCACAGTCATGATGGCTGACAGCTGCAAAGGAAATCAAAGAGCCAATGGTTTATGAATCTGACAGGTGTTAAGACTGTTATGGTGCCAAGAATAAAAAAGGAACTATTGCGTATATGTTTTGTATTGTTGCTCGTATACAAGGACAGGGAACTTCATTTTCATTTCAATCTCAATCTCTAAGTTCCTGTAATATATATATATATATATATATATATAGCCAAGAAGGTTTGACAACAATCCCAAAGTGGGTTTTGTTTTTCCGAGAGATCAGCTTTGCCAGGTTTACGGCTCTGGGATCGAAGCTGACGGCGCCACGATTTAGAACAAGAAATGCAAGGATTTCCCTGAGTCGAGTTTAGACTCGTGTGCAAAATCTAGCTGAATCTACTTTTATTGAAAACCAAAAAGTGTCGGATCGATTTTCCCCTCATTCATACCGATAAATGTTTTCGAGTTCATCAATTTCAACTTACCTGCTGAAGCCACTCGGACTCTTCGACCTGCTGAATAAAGCTTGAGTTTGTCTCTGTACTCGGACAAGTCGCACGCTGAAACTTCTTGAAACTCGCTCTAACTGCTCTGATGTCTGGGAGCTGACGATAAAGGTGCATATGTGGGATTACTTTAATGTGAAGAACATTAATCATTTGGACTACAGAATATGAAATGCATAAACCGAACATTATCTTAAATTTACACACAATCGCTCCCTGTTTCCCACCTCAATTGGAACAAAGTCACACTTGGGATAAGCCTCTTGTTTAACATGCTAAAGAGAAACAAAACAAAACCGTTTGGTAAATACAGTGGGGAATCTTTGTTAATCGTGTTCACTTCGTTTCATTAGAGATATTCAACGGCAATTTTCAATGGTGTCGAAAGTAATCCGGGTTGCTTTGGTTATGCTCGACTCCCCCATCCTCTTAACCAATCAGATTCAAGACTAAAACCAACCGCGTCGTAGTCATTTGCGTTTTCCCGCACTTCAAGTAGCTTGCTTGTTTTTACTGAGGGCAAATACACCGTCATATAACAAAAAAAGTTCAGTTCTTAAAGTTCTCAGTGAAACTTTCACAATAAGTGACTATTTCAACTTGTAACCGGTATTTAAAGTTTTCAATTTTGTCCGAATGTTGAACATTTTATCTTCATTAAGTTTTCCACTTTTTGCGTCGTGTATTTCATGTCAGGTTCTCGAGAGCTTTAAGAAGCCGCTGTCGCAATATCTTGGTACATTCTATTGTGTCTAACCTATCCAGTGACCACACTCAAAGAGCACGTCACTTAAACCGTACAACTATCAACACATACCCTTAACAATGTCTTGTCACCAAAGACGTAGAGCGCTGCCGGCTCCCAGCCTTTCCTCATAATTGTTCTGTCCACAAGTTGACCTGAATCAACTTCATCTGCAAAGTAACCGTCCTTGAGGAGAACGCCATGGTGTAGAGAGGTCGCGCGTGAGATATTCTTGTTTTTACTTTGAGGTGTCGCTGCAACTAAAATATCAATGAACACAGTGGAGTTAAATAATGACAGATACCCAGGAGTCTGACACTGGAAACAAGCCTTACCAGGCACTTTGAGGGCTGCCAGGTTACCTTGTCATCACAAATTGTGAGTTTTCTTAACGAAAGAAAACATGCCACGTGCAGATATGAAACAACATTGTAAAGTTACTTTTAGTGTTGTACTGTCACGCAAATATCAGTGCTTCTTCAGCACCTTATCTTCAATAACTCACCAACAGCAGCGAAATACTTCTCCTGTTCAGCCGAGGCAGATGAAGAGATTGTGTGACTAGCTACACTTCCAGGCGCTACAGTTTTGGTCTGACGCATGATTGATCCAATTGTGCTCCTTTCAATGCTACCTGCTCTAAGCAGTGTGGCTTTGTTCCGCTGGTGTCTCCACACTGCAACAGGAAACCTACCCTGGCGGTAGTTTTTAGCTATTCTGACAATGCTATCATCTGATATGCTCTGTGGAACTATAACCACTGATGGGTAACTGTGGAGAGAAACAGATTTGATAGGAACAGAATATGGTATATACCAAACCCAGATTAACCTAAATCACTTTCATCAAGTGCACACTCCAGACGCCTCAGTGAAAAGAAAATTCGCCCCGTCAAAACGAACACATGAACCAAACCAGTTCGCTATTGTAAAATACGAAATAAGTCAACAAGGATTTAACTTTCCATTACTATCTTTTCTACAAGAAAAGACTGTAACCACTCAATGAACATAAACCGAGTTCTCTGGGTACCAACCCATCAAACCACATTGGTTTACTCTCCTGCTTACTCTCTTTACTCTCCTATGCAAGGGGGGTGAGGGCCTGTAATTGTTCAATGAAAATCAACCGAGTTCCCTGGGTACCACCAAACCACACTATTTTGCTCTCATGCTTACTCTCTTCCCTTTCGTATGCCAGATAGCCTTCGATGGATTGGCCTCCCATCCGGGCAAAATGGAGAATAAAACCTTCCTGTTTTATGCTAGAGAAACCGGGAAAAGCTTCGGCAACGATGAAAGCCAGTCTAGTCCGCAGACTCTTGACTTACTTCTACCCTGACAAACAAGACTTCATCCTCACCTTCTACATGCAGTGTATGTGACATTGACCATGCATATCCGCCATGGTCCCTCTGAGGATTCTTTGGCTATATTGCCAAGTTTGAGACGTGAATAGTCACCACAGTAGGACAATTTACTCAGCCGTTCAGCTCCTTGAACGACAATTGGTTCGCCTTTGAGGGAAATGTCATTTATATCGAGCACAGAATCATCATCATCCGTGGTGAGGGATCCACTTAGTGATCTGTGGTCCAGACTCTGTGGATCTGACGCATTACGCTGGCGGCGTTTTTTGCGAAGAGAGCTCCGAATGTTTACAATGCTGCTAGCCTTAGTTCGTGATGCACTTACGAGTTTCGTCTTGGTCTTTAGGATAGTTCCTTGTCTCCCCATGTGTTTTTCAATGACGAAAGTCGGCGTCCTTGGAACGCCTTTTCCGCAGAAGGCAAATGTGCCTATAACTGTATTTGGTGAACGTCTCCTTTGCAATTTCTTTCGAAATGTCTCAATGGCTTCTTGTTCAACCTCGTCGTCAAAAATCAATTTCATCATCTGTTGGATGAAGAGAACGAGAAGGAAACAAGTTTCACGCAAATGCAAACAGTCTCCTGGCATAAGAAAATCAAGCCAATGTTTAAGAGCAATATTATCAATTCTGGGATGTCAGAGTGAAATGCAAAGTGCATTTGCATTTTGCTGTTTCCTGCTCGCTCGCGCGGTTGATTTGTCTCCTTCCTTTAACAATTTGCTTGTAAGTTCCAAAATCTGTTTTACGGACTAAGTTGCTGTGGTTATCTTCTGCCTGCAGAGGATATGACTGGTCACATTTAGAACACAAAAAATCAATACTCAAGGATCGACACTTACAAGTAGAAATTTAGTTTTGGCTAGTGGTTTTCGGTTTCCATTAGCCAGTTTGGCTAGTAAATGAACTGACATTGTCGTAGCATCAAAGATGTCACCAGCACTTGGCTAGTGAGTTGAAAAGTTCAGTATCGAGCCCTGATGCTTGAGTTTGCTGAGAATTTCAAGGATTGTGATATCAATTTACAGTAATAGTATGAATCACTGATTTTCATTTTGTGTTACTGTATTCTTGCAAGCTTCAATATTTTAGTACGCGTTAAAACCCCTGCTCGCCTCAACAACCTGTAGCGTTCTGCGAGCAGCGTTTATCTCATTTTGTATTTCAAACGTGCGAAGTTGAAATAACCTTGTTGTAATAAACTGGCAACGACTATGTGAACTGAAATACAAGACAAAAAAAAAAAATCTTTAATCAATACTGACCTGAAAAGTACTAGATCTGAGTTGAATGCACTCATGAAGCCACTGTCCCAAATGCTTTAAATACTGTACTCCAATCTTTTTCTCTTTGATAAGTGATCCCACAGGAAAACTTCTTGTCACAATCATCTCAGATGCTAAATGACGAAAAAGGTAACTCCACTCACAATTCATACCAAACTGAGGGAACTTAACGATAACACGAAGAAAGAAGCAAAACAAGACCATCTGAATTTTGGATAAATGGTACCGGCCGATTTGTTCATCATTCATGTTTTACCATAATTGGCAGTAATTTCACGATCTGAGTGGCTGATTTGCCGTTGTCGATAAGAGTTGCTGGCGTCAACGTGTCACGCAACATGTCACGAACTGAAAGAATCGTTTGATTTGACATCGACATCGTAGTCAATAAGAGTACAGACCATGATAAGTCAACTGTCGATGTGTTATTGAAAAACTGGTCGCATATATGCATCCGCCATAACGTCAACACAACGTCAACACGTCTGTCTTCAAAATTTCACAATTGCCCTCGAAGCTTTGCTTCTCGGTCAAATATTCATTTTTTGGACAACCTCTCAGCCGCAGACATTGTCAGCCGACCTACCAGCCGCCCAAGAGGTTTATTTACTAAATACTGGATAGTTCCTTTAACTAAAGAGGATCTAAAAAGTGTAGGTTTAGTACGTTCTATAGCTTAAGCTCTGAAAAGCTGATAACCAAGGGATGTGACAGGATTTCCACCTACTAAAAGTGCCCACTTGTGGTAAGTGGGAAATATAAGGAATTTATGTCAAAGACCACACGCTCTATTGTGGAACTAACGTCAGTTAAGATTGAGCTGTCTCAAATTAGCTAAAAAGCACAAAATAAATTGGCGTAAGAAACTTACCAAATGGATCTACTGGCGTTCCCTTGAAAATTACTCTGTAGTTTGTCAAAAACACTGCTCCTTCCGCGGGCAACAGACATGCCCCACCTTGATCTTCTCCTCCCCTGCCCAGCTCCCTCCCGTCGGGTATGAGGTAAGCACGGAGTCCATCGCTCATCATTTCCTCCCCCAACAGCAAGGTGGGTCTCATGATCTTGGCCTGCGGTGAGTGACAAACAGGGGACAGTCACAGCATGTTGAAATGGGTGCCAGGCAGCAACTGTGACTGCGACACCCACTCAGATTTCCTGACCAATAAAATTAATGAAAAACTGTCACCCCTCAAAAAAAAGAGTTTGGCTTCTTGGACTTTTTTGGTCATTAAAATCCCCAACCTCCCAGAATTCAGCCGATTTTTTAGCATAAAACTTCATTTAGGTATGAAAGTTTTTTTTTTAATCAAATAGAATCTTCACCGAACAAAACCACGATCAACCAAACTCAAGACTCAGAGCTATTAAATATTTCAAGTAATTAATACCAACCTTCTGAATTGGAGCCAAGTTCTTGTATTCGCGGTAAACTGGCTCCAATGACTCTATGTGCATGGTAACTACTCCTGTTTCCCATCAAAGCAAAAAACAAAAACAACGAGGAAAAATAAAATTAGAAGGATAAAACAGTAAACTGCAGTATACAATAATTTAGGGCCACAGAACAGAGCTGTGTATGCACATCAGACCAACATAACCAAGAAACTTTTGTTTGCATCTGGAAATGGCAAGTCAAATTTTAACACGCGTCGAAGCAATAATAAGTACAAGTACATGTAAGTAAGGGTCTGGTTGAGTTTCATTTCCTTGATTTTGGACTCTTTTTGTCCCCTGCCTTGCAGGACTGACCTGGTATCATGGTATAAAGAGACTTGAGGTGCTCTTGACTAATTCCAGCCTCTGTACCAACACGATCCACAAACCGACTAACAAATCTAGTTACTTTATCAGCAACAGTTCCACCGTCCTCATCATCCATATAGCTTTCCCGTCCCCAACTATCTGTGATACAACTGCCAACTTCACTACTCCCTAAACAAAAATCAAACAGGTATAAAATGAATGCATAAACTTCATCGCACGATTTAATGTTCATTAATCCACATGACAGCCCTCTGTGCAAATTTGTAAGCACTTTCCTGAATGCAACGCTACTCTTCCACAAGGGTCACAAGGTAACTCTAGGCAGGAAACATGGGACGAGGAGGTTTTCTTGTTGTTAACAACCCAAAGAAAAAAAAGCAGGAGGATAGATATTGTTAACTGAAAATATTAAGAGTCACTTGCCCAGGGAGAAAGCTGGACTTCAAACTTGCTTCAGCCTTACTGTGCATACCAACACTTTTTACAATTTTTTTTTCAGTAACCCTATGAATATTTCCCTTAACTCTGTTGGTGTCATTCCCTGGCATATTCTTCACTTTACATTCTTGGACACTTTTGCCCCTATCACATGCAAGTATCAAGGAATTAAAACAAACTGTTTAACTTTTCAACCCCAAAGAGTGAATAGCATCTAATTTCTCCCTATAGTAACAAATCTAACTCAAACATTGAGGTCATGAAAACAAGGGAAATGCTTGCCAACCTTTGATGCTCTTGATTGTTGAATGACTTCTCTTTATCAGTAACATAAGAAGTGTAAAGAGGAAACTGTACATGGTAAAAAGAGTGAAATCAAGCATGCTCAACTACAGTATGACACCTACCTCCTGCCACACCATTGGCAATGCTTCCTGTGTGAGTGCCACCAACAGACCCCTCCTCATCCACTTGCATACCTGACAGCAGAGACCAAAAGAGTCAACAACCACACCATTCATAAAATGTGTTAATTATTTTTTTACAAGCTTAAACCTTAGAGGACTCACATCCAACCCAGTTTCAGCGTTGGGGTTGAATATGCTACTAATCAAGCTGCAGAGGTCTCATGGAGAGCTACAGCGGACTTGTGGCAAGCTGCAGAGGACTCTTGGCAAGCTACAGAGGACTCATGGCAAGCTAGAGGACTCATGGCAAGCTACAGAGGACTCATGGTAAGCTACAGAGCACTCGTGGCAAGCTACAGAGGACTCGTGGCAAGCTACAGAGGACTCCTGGCAAGCTACAGAGGACTCGTAGCAAGCTACAGAGGACTCGTAGCAAGCAACAGAATACTCATGGCAAGCTACAGAGGACTCATGGCAAGCTACAGAGGACTCATGGCAAGCTACAGAGGACTCATGGCAAGCTACAGAGGACTCATGGCAAGCTACAGAGGACTCATGGCAAGCTACAGAGGACTCATGGCAAGCTACAGAGGACTCATGGCAAGCTACAGAGGACTCATGGCAAGCTACAGAGGACTCATGGCAAGCT